CAAAGTAAATGGTTCTATTGTATTATACTTGGTTTCAATCATAATTACCAGTAGGCCAAAAAAAAAATCCATCATGATCCTACTAACATCTATAATTTACTGTACCTAAATGTGGGAAAAAAAGAATGTTGAGTTTGCTTTGGGAATCGGATATCATAGAATTGATTCCGGATAGATGAACAATCAAATTAAAAGGCAGCAGTTAATGGAATTGATTTCCAAATGTTTACAATTGCTGAGTTGAGAATTACTTATCCAATGTGTGTCTTTTGCCAGTAGAGTACAGAAAATAATGCTGATTTCACTATAGATAATTCAATAAGTATTATAAATATAAATACTATAATAATCTTTCAAATATCTTAATCAGGCCTAAATATTTTTTTTCATCATGTAATCATTATAGAGTATACAGTAGGATCATCATGTACCACATTGTGTGAAAAATTTTAACATTGTATAATATAATTATATCATATAACTCCTTACAGTATATACTAAAAATAAATATCATTATATATTATTTTAATAAAGTAAAATTAAGCACATTACATTGGGCTTTGTTGTACAGTAATTCTCAAATTATAATTAGAACATTTTGAACAAGCATCCTTTTCTATCGCCACTAATTACTATCTTCCATTTGATATGTTACCAAACATATTGTATTTCTTATTGTTTAGTCACAATGATGAATGGCTAGTGAAAATGTTATAATTTTGAATGTTTTTCTTTAATTTTAATACATTTTATAAATTTTAAAACAGGTTATTAACCAGGGATTCAGAGTTGACCATTTATGTGTTGGGCTTAGCCAAATACATTCTCTAGACATGCTCCTTGTCAATATTTATTGTTTTGTGTAAATTTGTAAATAAATAATTTGTTTGTTTTAATTGTTATATTTTTTACTTCCTTTGTATTGTAATATATTATACATAAATAATGATTTTAGATAGATAACAAACAACTGTTATTGAATTTAATTGGATTTGTTAAATAAACTGTGAAAAGAATGTGAATGAATTCTGTACATTACATATTTCCTCCAAAAGACATTACCTGTATTTCACAGGGAGAAAAACATAAAAAACAATTATACAATTGTTCCTTAGCACCTAACTTATAATATGAACCCTAATTTTATACAATAACTCTTTACAGTATGTTAGGCCAACCTAAAAAACTACCGCCTTTTAGTTGAGGACAATCTCTATTATTTAATGGACAAATTCCATTTTCTGTTGAGTTATTGTACAGTAAGTCTAACCTAAGGTAAAAAAGTCATAAGTAATTGCTACTTTCTAAATTATGAAAATGATAAAATGTTTTACATCAATAAATCATAATTTTGCAGCTGTTCAATTCAATTTTCATACCGTTTTAAGGCTCATTCATTTTACCTCCTTACATTCTCTTCAAATTTGTGTATTTTTCTTCTTTTGTTTTTTTTCGAAATTATTACAATGAGCAGGAGGCTACAAAATTATTTCATTTTACATGGTAAGATAAAAGCCATCTAGATATTTGAATAGTTTACAAGAATTCTGTCAAGAAACATGTCAAAAAATAAAGAATCTAATACTAATAATTAGTAAAAGTCAATATGTGGTTCATCTTCAGGCATTATCATTGGTATTTGAGGGTGTGCCTGCCCTGCGTGTGTGTAGAGATGGGTATGTGGATGTGTGTCTGGATATGTGTGTGTATATTGCCATCTATATGACGGTTGATGACACCAAGCTTTGTCAAGATGACATTATGACCACAGAGCTACTCTCAAGTCTGGCATTCTAAAACCACTTAAGAAGCTTGAGCCCCCAGAGACTCCAAAAGAATGGAGGCCAATGCTAAAGCATAACATATCAAATCTGATTTATTGGTCAGAGTTGATCAAACCGGTAAGATATGATCATATCATAAGCAAATTCATAACATATAGAAGCAGATTTTCATAATTTATTCATTGAATGTTTTATAAATCATTAATGTACTGTTTCATGTTAAACATAGTACAGCTATGTACAGAACTACAAGTGTTATGCAATGCTTGGTTGAAAAAAGACAAATGATTGTAATTTCATTCAAAATTATGTTCTGATTTCTAAGAAGTTTTTTTTAAAAGGGAAAATATTAATTATCATGCGAAGACTAGGATTCAAAATGTCCTTTCCTTTTTTAAAGAAAATTGTTATATAAGCATTACAAATTTCAATAGTATACATCTATAACCAAGCTCCATTAATTAATTTTCATCTATTGAACTAATCTTATTGCATTCATAAGTGTTAAATAAGTGTATTGAATACTTGTAGCAGCATAATGTGCGCATAAATAATGTGCAGTCTATGTGCCTGTAGGCCTAATAGGTACAGTATGAACGTGACTGCACATAACACCATGTAAATCCTGTGTAAAAATTAAGTGTGAAAGACCTAATTGCTACTCAGGTTTCAAATGAAGTGGTGAAGACAGCAGTATAAGAATTAAGTGGTAGGTTCAAATGTAAACTTTATTGGTTTAGCCTGCTCAGTTAAAGTGGCGAGTCTGCTGGTGGTATAAATGTTAACATGCGAGTCCCAGAAGTTCTTGCGATAATTTTTAATTGTAACTTAAGCATGCTACAAGTCATGTTAAAGCCTGCTGCACATACCAAATATCTGTAGTTTGATATTTTTGGCTCGATACGGTAGATGCCAACAATGCCTTACTGTATGCGGTAAATGAAAGCCAACTGCTTACAGCTTATGTATACTATGTATATGAACATCAAAAAGTACTCTCAGATACATGTTCAAAATGTTTGCTCATATACTTAGGTACTGTATAACACATGACAAATATAGGTGGGGCTGAAGGGTGGCTCACCTGTCAAAGAACAATGGAGGACCTGTAGGGAAATGCATTATGTAGTAACTGTAGACCATACCTGTAGGCATACAGTATGCTGGGGATGGGGATACTCCCTCATGGCAGCAAATTAGTTCCACTAATGTGGGTTAGTTTATACTTTAAAAAAAGTTTTCATTAGAATAGGGATTTAGTTCAGCATTCTGAGATTTAGTTCCACATTCTCATTTTTAGCACCCCATGCGCCCCCCACCCCTCTCCATCCCCACAAACCTAACCAGCATACACCCCTGTAGACTGCTTACCTGGTACAGTCACATAAATTAAGTTTTGAAAAAGATATTAATTCTGTTTAATTAAAGAAATATTGATGTTTAATCTTATATCATCAGGCTAAGCAAGATTATCAAAAGGCTAACTATTATTAGAACGAGTTTAATGATTAGACACACAAAATAATATGGGACTGCCACTGTAATTTTAGGTGTGATGTACTGTACAGTGCAGGGTCACTGGATTCATTACTGTGGTTGCTGGTAACACACTATCCCCCAAGGTAAACAATGCTTGGAAAAAATATAATGAATGGATGAAGGCTGTCTGTGGTTTGCATGACTCATAGGAGCTCATTTACCTTTATACTACAACAATAATTAAGCAAGTGACGTTTCCTGCATAAGACAACTTAGCAGTATTGATTTCTCTATAAATCAGTAAATACTGGAGAATGTTGTATTCATAGCATTCTGGCTTTACGGTAATCATATTATCAGCCCAATTATTTTTAAAGACTAATTTAATAAAGGAAGAATCACTGAATTTGGGATCAGTGCAAAACATACTTATTTTAAAATGATTTCATTTTTATTCTTATCTGTCTAAACATATAGTGGAAACAATATATTTTATATGGGAAATGTTTTAATTACTCTATTTTACTGCCTTCTGTAGCCATATACTGTAGGAGATCCTTTTGTAATCATTTTTCCATCCCCAGCATCACTTTATCTAACTGTTAACATTAGAAAACATGTATAGTTTATTTGAAATTTGTTCCAAAAAAACTACAATCCTTTTTTTTTTTTTCAAATTGTGTTTTTGAAAAAATAATAGGATTCATAAAATTAAAGTTCCAATTTTACATTAAATAAAGATCTGGAATAAACATAGAATTAACAATAACATGAAACTGAAGTTTTACAATGACAACTAAATTTGAATTGTAATTTATGCAGGTAAGTATACACAAAGTAGACTTATAACATTTAATCATCAATCTCCTAGTCATTGAAATGCAAAAATTGGGCCTTGTTGCCCCAGTTTTGTCGGATCAAAAAGGGGGGTTTATTATTTATTTATTTTTTTAATTTATTTTTTTTTTTTAAGCAAAATAAAATCTCTCAGAACAACCTCAAATGGCTCATAATTGCTCAGTTTTTTAGAGTATCTTGGATCGTCTGGAACCCCAAAAGTTTGGGGTTCCTGAACCTTCTGACCTCCCCGGAAATTATCAGACCAGAGGTGTACCTAGGACTCAGGAGTCTTGAAATGTGTGGGCTAATGGGGCGCAAATATGGAGTGGCTATGATTATGGGGGGGGGGGAGAGCTACTGTAGATCGCAAAACTAAGGTGTCGACTAGAGAAGAGCTTTTTTGGGTGGGGCATGATCCCCCACACACCCTGCCCCCTTTCCCTCCTTGTTACGCCACTGTGTCAGACAGCTACCCCCACCGATTTGTTGAGCAAATCATGGTGCAATACCTACATGGATATACAAGGTATATAAACAAGCAGTCAGTAGCAGATTCTACTTTTCTTCATAACAAAGATAGATGAACGTGTGTGACTAGCATACACCAGATCTACGTTGATGTACGATTGACACACAGTTTTAACAAAAATAAATGCATACAAAACAGATAAAATCACATTTTTTTTTGCTGCTGTTTCATTCATTACCACTATATCAGGTATGTGACATGTCAGTTGTAACAAATTACGGTAATCTCAATACTGTATTAATGAAAAAGTTAAAATAAGAAACAGATGTCGCCTGTGTTTATCGCCACCTCTCGCTTCAATCGGTCTGTTGATCAAAAGTGACTTTTCGTATCATCACCTCACTTACTTATCAAAACGAACGACTTACCTGTGTTTCTGAACAAATCTATGATACAGAACACATTCATATAGTATATCAATAGAGAATGCTGCTTGCGACGGTTATTTTTCAGACAAAAAACGGGCAAAATATTATCAAAAAAACAAATATTTGTATAATCAAATTGAACCGCGGTTTCGGATGTGTGTATGGCTGCCTTCACGACAAGCAAATTTTGGCATGCTATGTTTTTGACTACCGCCCTCTATGTTTACATGTCCATTTAATTATTGCACAACATTTGGACACACACGATCGACGTGAGAAGCTGGGTCTAGGACCTAGATAGCTAGTGTAAATCCTATGCTATATTTGTTTTATTTTATTTCTCCACTGTCATTTCACACGGTAGCATCAGACTTCTGGTATTTTAATTTTTTTCTTCTTAACTTATTCATTTTTAAGTTTCGAAACTAGGCCCTAATTAGGCCGGTTTGGTGGACGTGGTAGGGGAGGGAGAGGAGGAATACCGGGAGTAGGAGCTGGCTAGGCGTCCTCCTTGTTATTAGTGCAGTGCCTAGGTTAGGCTAGCTGCTAAAAATCGATAGAGGGCTATCTTGGCCTAGGCCTAAACTAGTAATAGGCCTACAATGGGTGACAGACGGTCGGGTCCAACTGGTCTGGACGATTGGGCCCACGTTCTAGAACAAAGGATAGGCCAGGCCTAGACAAGTGAAGATAATCTAAAAAATTATCAATATCATCAGTAGGCTATAATTATATTCTAAGGCCCTATCTATGTACTGTGCTACTGAAAATGCTTGTCCATTTGAAAGAAAAAATGAATAAATAAATAAATTCTTCATGTAGGGACAAATACAAACAAGGCTAAACAGCAGTTTTTCACAATAGTCATGATTAATATTACAACATGATCCAATAATACTTTGTCTTCACTTTATGAACGATCAGGCCCAGTATTTGATTTTGCCCAAAAAGAATCAGGCCCACGAGATGTACTTTATCCTAACTTTAGTTCTTATTGACATAAACTTTTTTTATGTATACTTTTTTTGGTCAATAATATATGTCCTAGTTCTATTAAGAGGAACACCGATTAGTTCAGATTTTTTTGTTCAATTTTTAAAAACTCATGGTTTTCCAGGCAAGTGAACAAATTATATTGAAATAATTTGTCTTTAAATACTGTACTGCGGTAATTTACCCAATTATGAAATCCATGTACCTGCTTGAACTATAAAAAGCCTCATGAGATAGCTTAACATAACTGGGCCCTAGCTTAAAGTGAACAAGTTTCATACTCACATAATTGAAGATAAAATTAATCACTTTATATTATTATAGTTAGAGACAATATAAATAAAAGGTCTGCCTTAGGCCATGTAAAAAAAATAATTGGTTAGCATCCCCTCACTACCATCACAGAGGCCACCGACCCGATTTCTTTTTTTTTTTTTTTAACAAAAAACTCACAAACTCCATTTAATATAGGTTTGTTTTCCACCTGTCCACATGCTAGCCAGACCACTTGCAGGTCTATGCTTTACTGTTGTTCTATACTGTAGCCACATGGCATAATCCATGATGCCTGGCCCGGGATTTATGTGTTTTGTGAATTGTGCATGATTATAATAGATAATATAGATAAGATAATATAATATAATAAGATAATTGCATTATGACTGTTATTCATAGGTAAAGTTTCTGTTTCTACAGATGAATTACATAATTTCTTGTATGCAAATTCCGTCTCTATTGTTTTCTTCTTTGTTTTGCTTTTTTTCCTTGCGACACTCTTTTTTCATGTTAGATGCGAGGGGAAAAAAACCTACCTCCCTCCATACCATAAAAATTGATTAAACATAAGGATGCTAACCAATTTTTAAAAATTTTATATGACCTTATATAAACATATGAATATGTATAATGTGATATAAAAATGTTTCAACATAATCAAATTTTATATTATTTACATTTCCACTTGAATGAACCATGAACAAAATGTCAAGTTGGTATATAAACCTCATAAATAATTTATCTAAATGGTTTCTATGTGAAAATCTAATTACAGCTTACTTGTTAGCCAATTTTTCGTTTCGACACTGGAAGCTTTCTCAAGCCGATATGCCAGCTGACGATGTTATACTGTGTGGTCCGTAGATGGTACCCTCACAATCAGCTGGTCATAGAGATGACTGAGTTAGGTTGTCCCCTGGTCTGTGTTGATTAGCATTTCTTTGCTGTTGTTGCCCATTTCCTTCTTATCCAGATCGATTCTCTGATCCATCTGGTGTGTTTTGTGAGGGTGTCATCTACGGATGACGCTACCAGCTTGAGAAAGCAAAATGTGTCTATAACAAGTAAGTTGAAATAGGATTTTCACAAAGAAACCATTTGTATTATTCATGAATTTTTTGAAATCCTGATGAATTTTTACTTACAGTCTCATAAATAATTATTAAGGATCAATGAGTTACTTATTCTCACTTTCAGATTTACATCTACATACAATGTCAACGTACACATGCATAACATGTCGAGTGGCATTTTCCAGCTCCGAAATCCAAAGAAATCATTATAAAACCGACTGGCACCGCTACAACCTCAAACGTAAGGTAGCGGAGATGCCACCGGTGACATCAGACGACTTCTGTCAGCGAGTGCTATCACAGAAAGCTCAGCTAGCCCAAGCCAGTCAACCTGTTAAAAGCCATTGCCAAGTGTGTAATAAAAATTTCAGTACAGAAAATGCATTTGCTAACCATATGCAGTCGAAAAAGCACAAGGAACAGGAGGCAAAGGTAAATAAAGAATTGGAGAAACTCAAAGAAAAGAGGAAGGAGAAGGGACTGGAAGAAGAAAACAATGACAAAAATAGAACTACTGAAGATACAAGTCAGGGTGCAGCTTGTGTTAAACCAAAATCTAAACCAGACTCTGCAATAGATGATGATGATGATGATGAAGGTAATTCATTTTTTAAAAACATAAAAATGTTCATGGTAGAGGACATTTAGTTTTTATTTCATTGTAAATAATAAAGAAATAAATACAAAAGCAAGTTCTTATTGACTAACCACATTTATGCTGCATACAAAATGATAAAATTTGCATTGCCTGAATTTGTTAGCAGTATTACGTGCTGTATGGTGTTCTTGTGCATGTATATTTACTCATAAATACTACATTAGATAATAATAAAACTAATAATGAATAATAATGGTTTGTGTATTTCAAATCCAGTGGTCCATTTAAATCATCCTATTATCATGCGAATAAGGTTTACAGGATTGTATGGGATGGAGATTTGCAAATTCAAAATCTGAATTAGTGAATAAAATCATTTATATTTAAAACCACCAAAACTATACATCATTTTCGCCAAAATTGAAAGGAAAAATATCCGACAACCTGGCAACTACCATTTGGGAACATCCAGAGGCATTTCGTTTTAGTTACCAATGCTTATTTGTGGCCGGTGCACAGCTTTCTTTCTTGTTGTAGCGTAGTCTTTGGAAAAAAAAAATGCAAAAATAAAACAAAAAAGAAAGGTTTTGGTTGTTTTGTTACTTCTGCTCTGCTGGATCCCCCCCCCCCCCAGTGAAAAGTTGCAAGTCTTTAGACATTTGTGGCGCTGTTTCAAAATACGCCCAACAAAATGGCGTATAGCCCACACTTTTTTCCTTTATGTACAATAGGTATGGAAGTAGAAGAGGTAAGTGATGATGAATGGGACGAGTATGAAGGCAATGCTGTACCGGGTACCGACTGTCTTTTCTGCTCCAAGTCTAGCAACAGTATCGAGGAGAACTCTCATCATATGACTGTCCATCATAGTTTCTTCATCCCCCATATTGAGTATCTTGTAGACCTTGAGGGGCTCCTTACATATTTAGGTAAGTTAGGTTTGAGTGCAGATATGTACTTGATAATTTTTTTTTCATTTCACATCCACAGAAATTACTGTAACTAGCCAATTACAGGGTTAAACGATACTTAATAACTGAGACTCTTCATGAGGCTTAGGGAGTCATGAGAAGTCCTGTTGAAACAGAAATGGACCTAGGACTTGGGTAATATCCGTTCATGAGGGCTGTATGGTTTTGAACAGCGTGCAAGAGGGTGGAACCTGCCATGGACCACTCAGAACTAGTGGAATCCCATCAAATTTTGTTGAGCTCTCCAACGGGATAACCAGCTCTACTAAAGACAGAGGCAGCGGGAGGTTCCACTTGTGCCACCACTGTGGGGTGGAGAATGTTCAAAATCAAAGCATGATTGTCTAAGTCCAGTAAAATTGAACTACAGCGCTTTGAGGCTTTTTTAATTAGGCACTATATAAATTTATTAAAGAATTGTAACTTTGCAATTATATGATTATCATCATCAGGTATTTCATCTAATTGAACATCCTGGTTTTCTTATTTTTACAGGTGAAAAGGTTGGGTGTGGGTTTGTTTGTCTGTGGTGTAATAAACGAGGCAAAGCATTTCATGCGCTTGATGCAGTTCAACGACACATGAGGGACAAAGGTCACTGTAAGCTACAATATGATGGCGATGCAGCATTTGAGTTCTCAGATTTCTATGACTATAGGTTTGTTTTGGTATTATCATGAAATCGTATTTGTACTCTTTAAAAATTCTTAATAACCCCGCCACATATATTACTATACTTTGTCAATTAGTACTGTGTTCTGTTTCCACTATTTAAAAATGGGAAATATATATATTTTTAATGATTTAAAGATTTTGTGTATATCTGAATAAATACATGTGCATATTATATTTACAAATAAATCAGTATTTTACATGTTTAAAGATAGATATGGATACATGTATTACAATCATTCTCATTCACTTGAACTCTAGTAAACCAAAGGCTTAGCCATTGAGCCGTCCAGCCGTCTTTTGGACGGCCTACAAATATTTAGGACGGCCACTTTTACCGTGACGGCTTGGCCTAATCAGTTCGGCCTAGCCAAATTGGACGTGGTCTACCTTTAGCAAATTCTTTATATTCTTCAGATCTATCGAATGTTACATTAAAATAAAGTTAAATCATATTTAAGTTTGATAAAAACAACATTTATTGATTGAATGTACGTTGTTTCCGTACCAATATTTGGGTGGAATTCCCAAAGATGGGCGTGGCTTGCCCATCGGCTCAGTGCTACACCCACTGGCTTCCATTTTGGACGCCCTATTTAGTTTTTCTGGCTAAACCCCTGTAGTAAACCAACTACACTATCATGGGCGAATTATGGGAGGGGGCACGTTTTGCCACTGCCGTCTTTTATTTTTTGATAGAAAAAATTACAATGTTACAGTATTTTGCAACAACATATACTGAACAAAAATTATACAATTAATTAATGAATACTTATTTATGTGTATAACTATATTACATCTAGGTCTATAAAAATTGGTGCTCCCTCTTCCGAAATTATGGATCTGCCCCTGTCTATTGTTACTGTGCTAAACACACAGTACTTTCTGTCAGGCCACCTTCACTCACCCAATCAACACATTCTAATCATCCTCTTTATGCAAGTGTGAAATAGTGAAACTGTCTACCACAACATATAAAACCTCATCATGTTTTCTTAAAAATAGCTCAAATTCTTTCTAATTATTTAACATCCAACAATACCATTGATTATAATTTTAATATTAAATTGATGCTAAGTCTTATTGTATTATTGTTACTACTGGTAATTATTTTACAGTGGAAAGAATCTGTTTTCAGTTTGTTTGTTTGTTTTCATAATGCATTATTCACCATTAAGAAAAAGTCGAACATTTCTATATTAGGAGTCGCTGTCCTGATTGATGTAGAGTACCACAGTTGTGTCGTCACGACACCAGGTAGCGCCCACTGTTGTTAACCAGACGTTGGTTACCGTTCGTTACACCTGAATGCCTGCATAGGCTTTCTGGAATAGGCATCTTAAAATCTAATATTTTACCATCAAAATACTAAACACACAAAAGCTCGTTGTAGATTGTAGTAGTTATCGATTATTCATCAACTAAAATCTACAAAGAAAAACTAAGATACAGCATCTTAATAATTACGTTAGAAATTGGGATCCATGGTTTGTTAGTAGAGAAAATCGTGCCTGGTTGAACGCATTTTGCAACGATAGCAACGGAGTAGTATCACATGGTATCATGACGTAACACTGTAGTACTCTACACAGTGTATTGACAGATATTAAATTTTTTTATAATAGGAGTAGCTACCCTGATTATGATGGGGAGAAAAAAGTTGATGTGGATATGAAGGAGGAGAATGAGGAGGAGATAACAGAAGATGTCTTAAATTCTACACCTGATGGATATCAGCTTGTACTCCCTTCAGGTTAGCAGTTTTACATTATTTTCTTTTTGTATCCACTGTCTTCTAGATTGCATTTGACTTAAATATTCTGCATGCTAAAAACAATTAGTGTACCTGCTACCTTACTCTCGCTGTAAATAACTAGAAATTCGGGAAAATATGATATTTCCAAAAAAGGAAATATGTCCTATATTTTCTATTTACAATTTAATATACAAAGAATTAATCCAATTACTGCAACCCAAAACATTTGGGTATAGGTAGTGCCATGTGCACGCTTATGTAAATAATGCATTTTCATTTACTTACTTGTTTTATCATGTTTCCAACAATTAGCGTATTGCCTACTATAATACCATAAATATATATTGTTTCCTCAGTAGTTAATGATCACATTAATTTATTCACCTTCCTAATAAAAAGTATTGTAAATGATTAAGTTAATCTGAAAGCATAAGCGGTAGTTCAATAATTTCTTTTGTTAATACACTCCATCTGAAACTGCAACTCCTTTAATGGCTCTTTATAACTACAGACAGTACCAACAATTTTTTTATTCTAATGTCTAATTTGCATATAAATCATGATTTTGGTTTAAACTTTAAAAAAAACATTATTCATTTACATAATATTGATTACTTTTTTTCTTGTGATGTCTGTGATTCTCGCTGTGCATTTCGCTTGTTTCCTTGAGCAAGGCATTTTATCTGCATTGCTTCTCTCCACCCAGGAGTATAAATGGGTACCTGGTGGGGTTGCTTGCTCCTTGGCTGAATACAGCAGCAACACTTAGCATGTGGATCCAATGACCAGGGACAGAAGCGCTTCGTATCTGCAAAGAAAGGCGCTATATAAATAAATATGATTAGATTAAATTAGATTCTTGTTTGTTCTCTACAATTTTGGTGGTGATGTTTGTGCTTTACAAATCGTTATTATTTTTTTATTTTATTATTAGTTTCCCTCTGATGCTATAGAGGTATATATTTAGTGTACTTGCCTCTGTTTATTCATCACTCAATTGGAATGGAGTTACCATTTACCTGATGAGGCTTTTATGCTTATTGTTTATATTCAGATCCATTGCTTGCAGTAGAGTATCCACCTTCTATTTTCTACCTGTATATGACCATATTTTTATCCTATCTGTACATTCACCTGATAAAGACATTGTTTGGTTAAAAGCTTGTGCATTAATAAAATGTTTTATTCTGTAAAGTGTTGTTTGTCTTTAATTGACTCTCTATCATCCAACATGGCTTTCTATTCCACTTCATCACTATTTATCATAAATTATTTAGGTAAATGATTTTTTGAAACCATTGAAATAAAAATATGCAGAAAATTGTATGTCATTAGTTATTTAGGCAGCTGGTTTAATTAATAATATTCAAGGTGTACTGCAGGGCCGTAGCCACCGGTACAGTTGGTCAGGTTTGAACCTGACTACTTTTTGACAGACTACAAGTTAATTAATAAGGTTTTGAATAGGAAAAAAGGGCTAAATTCCACCTGCATGTTTACTCTCTCGCTGACATAACTCAGGAACCGTTAATGATATTTTACATTATTTTCTTCTCCTTTAGTGTAAAATTTATAATGACTGATTAAGAAACTAGGATGCATTTTTTTCTTCAGTTGAAATTTAATGTCTAGTGGGCTTACCTTTTATCCAAATCAAGTAGGAAATCTTATTATTATTATTATTATTATTATTATTATATATCCCAAAATTACGTTATATTCATGCACGAAAGTAGAAAGTTTAACTTAATAATATTGATATGTTTTATGTATTTGTTGAATGGTTTTTAATGATATTATAGTCTAATATGACCACAGCAGTTCTCTCCTTTAAACTTCTAACCTTCTAAGCTTTGCGTATCTCAATATACATATATATTTCCTTAAATTATGGAGGAATTAGTTTTTATTAAAGTTTATATAAATTATTAGTTTTAATTCCTCCATGCTTAAATCAAGGAAGTCCAATCGTTAAATTAGTATATATAGTATAGAGAATTTTTTCTGTCAATCTCAGGTATCCAACCTTTAGGAAATTACATTTTATGCATGCACCGACATGAGAAATTTAACCTAATAACTTTGATATGTATATGTTTTATATTGTTTGTTGAATGGACTTTTTTAATAATAATATTACAGTCTAATATGACCACAACATAAGGAAGTCCACTCTGTAAATGTTTAGCATAATATTGTACAGATAATTTTGATTGTTTATCAATATCATTATACACTTGTTAGATCCAAATCACGTTTTATGCAAGCACCGACAAAGAAAGATTAAACATAATAATTTTGATATGTACATGTTTTATGTTATGTGATGATTGGTCTTGTTAATAATATTACAGTTAATGGCTTAATGTTAATACTGTAATATTACAGTTTAATGGTTTACAATAATATTACAGTTTAATGGTTTAATGGCCCGGAACCCTAAACCCCGACCTCGGGGCCCTTGGCGGCCCCCTAGCCCAATCATCAGTGCTCGCGCTTCGCTCACAACCTGACCACTTCAGTTCTCGTGGCTACAACCCTGTACTGA